GATAGATAGATAGATAGATAGATAGATAGATAGATAGATAGATAGATAGATAGATAGATAGATAGATAGATAGATAGATAGATAGATAGATAGATAGATAGATAGATAGATAGATAGATAGATAGATAGATAGATAGATAGATAGATAGATAGATAGATAGATAGATAGATAGATAGATAGATAGATAGATAGATAGATAGATAGATAGATAGATAGATAGATAGATAGATAGATAGATAGATAGATAGATAGATAGATAGATAGATAGATAGATAGATAGATAGATAGATAGATAGATAGATAGATAGATAGATAGATAGATAGATAGATAGATAGATAGATAGATAGATAGATAGATAGATAGATAGATAGATAGATAGATAGATAGATAGATAGATAGATAGATAGATAGATAGATAGATAGATAGATAGATAGATAGATAGATAGATAGATAGATAGATAGATAGATAGATAGATAGATAGATAGATAGATAGATAGATAGATAGATAGATAGATAGATAGATAGATAGATAGATAGATAGATAGATAGATAGATAGATAGATAGATAGATAGATAGATAGATAGATAGATAGATAGATAGATAGATAGATAGATAGATAGATAGATAGATAGATAGATAGATAGATAGATAGATAGATAGATAGATAGATAGATAGATAGATAGATAGATAGATAGATAGATAGATAGATAGATAGATAGATAGATAGATAGATAGATAGATAGATAGATAGATAGATAGATAGATAGATAGATAGATAGATAGATAGATAGATAGATAGATAGATAGATAGATAGATAGATAGATAGATAGATAGATAGATAGATAGATAGATAGATAGATAGATAGATAGATAGATAGATAGATAGATAGATAGATAGATAGATAGATAGATAGATAGATAGATAGATAGATAGATAGATAGATAGATAGATAGATAGATAGATAGATAGATAGATAGATAGATAGATAGATAGATAGATAGATAGATAGATAGATAGATAGATAGATAGATAGATAGATAGATAGATAGATAGATAGATAGATAGATAGATAGATAGATAGATAGATAGATAGATAGATAGATAGATAGATAGATAGATAGATAGATAGATAGATAGATAGATAGATAGATAGATAGATAGATAGATAGATAGATAGATAGATAGATAGATAGATAGATAGATAGATAGATAGATAGATAGATAGATAGATAGATAGATAGATAGATAGATAGATAGATAGATAGATAGATAGATAGATAGATAGATAGATAGATAGATAGATAGATAGATAGATAGATAGATAGATAGATAGATAGATAGATAGATAGATAGATAGATAGATAGATAGATAGATAGATAGATAGATAGATAGATAGATAGATAGATAGATAGATAGATAGATAGATAGATAGATAGATAGATAGATAGATAGATAGATAGATAGATAGATAGATAGATAGATAGATAGATAGATAGATAGATAGATAGATAGATAGATAGATAGATAGATAGATAGATAGATAGATAGATAGATAGATAGATAGATAGATAGATAGATAGATAGATAGATAGATAGATAGATAGATAGATAGATAGATAGATAGATAGATAGATAGATAGATAGATAGATAGATAGATAGATAGATAGATAGATAGATAGATAGATAGATAGATAGATAGATAGATAGATAGATAGATAGATAGATAGATAGATAGATAGATAGATAGATAGATAGATAGATAGATAGATAGATAGATAGATAGATAGATAGATAGATAGATAGATAGATAGATAG